CACATGCAAACGCACACATGCACACGCACACGCACACGCACACGCACACGCACACGCACACGCACACGCACACGCACACGCACACGCACACGCACACGCACACACATATATATAGGGCAGCACGCGAGTTTTTAAATCGTAGGATGGCGACTGAAGATTGATAAATTATTCGTGCTTTAATACCCTGCCCCTATCCCTAATCAGTCACCATGCTACGTCACCATCAGTTACCGTCCTATCCTTCAGTCGCCATCCTACGATTTAAAAACTCGCGTGCAGCACAACATGCAGATGGGTACATTAATCAGCACGTCCTCCCCATAACTCCACACACACGCCCGCCAGACGGACAGGAGGCCCCCTCATAATGGAGACGGCTCTGGCACCGGGTTCACGGACGGGTGCTGCGAAGACCGACCGTTCCCATAATCGGACAGTGGCCCAGCCGATCACTGGGGAAACACGCGCGGCACTTTGTTAATCGTGTTTACCGCGGAGTGACGGCCACGGCCACACAAACGCCATCGCTTACTTAAGTCTTCACACAGCGCGCGGTGCTCTCGCATTGACGGGCAGCTTATAACGACGGCACATGCTACGGATTACACGGGTGGACGGCATATAGGTAACACAGGCTGGTGGGCTAAGAACCGCAACCACTCACCACAGCCGTGACTGAAACCTGTGAAAACATGGGAATAACTTTGGAAAAACTACTAAGAAGTACTTTACGATGAGGAAACTGCGCAAGCGCCGTATTATGCAAGAAATATCCGATAAGCCTTTCATCATCACATACGCACAGTTTATATTTACGAGTCGACTACTGACAGCTGCATCAAAGCAAATAGCGCTGTAACCCACGATCAGGATCCGCGCGGGGTTGGGAAGTTAGACACGAAAATACGTTTGCAAACCCAGGAGCTGGCTTGCTTTGTTGGCTCTGTATATGCTCGGGCCCGATCCCATACCGGATTCTGTTCGGTGGCAAGGGTTGAAGTAATGAAGTGACTGAGTTTGGATAAACCTATCTTGGATGTGTGGTGTTGCACAGTCATAGTTTTTGTGACTTCCCAGTTTTTACGTATATATATATATATATACTTGAGTGTATTGAAGCCACCCACCCATGCAACATGCGTTCGCATACGGAATACAGGATTGGGCGTCGATCGGTCACCGCTGCTGCTGCTGACTACTACTGCTGAGAGGGTCTACGTCCTCCAGGGTACTGCCGGAACGTACCCTGGGTACGGTCCGGTATACCGAAACGTACCCTGGTACTATCTAATATGCCGGACCGTACCTCGCCTACTCCACTAACGAGTCTAGGGAGTCGCCTACGCCTACTCCCTAACCCTAACCCTAACCCTAACCCTAACCATATCAAATAGTTACGAGGGTACGTTCCGGTATACCGGACCGTACCAAGGGTACGTTCCGGCAGTACCCTGGGGGACATAGACCCCATGAGCACTACTACTACTACTACTACTACTACTGCTGCTGCGTCACGACTGTACTACCCGTGGGTGGTTTTCTATACGAGTAAAGGGGGCTTATGTCGGGCTTGCGAGCCGACTCGACTGGAAGCAACTGGCTGCAATTCACTGCGACTGCAGTGCTTAGGTCGGTCGACTGCGACGTGACTGCCTGCGACTGGCCGCCACTAGTTGCTCGGAATAGAACAGTGGGCAACTGGACGCAACTAGTCGCTGCTGATCGCTTCCAGTTGCTCGAAATCCAGTTGCTTCCATTCGAGTCGGCTCGCAAAGCCCGACATAAGCCCCCCTTTAGACAAACCACTGACGGAATGACTGGGTTTCTCTGTGCACTAACACTTCACGGCATCTAATTCATACACTCGATCGCGTGCTCTGCCACATGGCAGGCTCGAAATTCGCTCTGCAAGAGAGCGAATAGTACAAGAGCTAGTGCCGTAACGCGCCGATGCCGACGGGCCAGCAGCGACATATGAAGATATCAATTACTAGCTGGAGCCTGGGGACGTGTGGAGAGCCCGCGGCCACCACGCCACCGTGACGTGAAGAAAAGCAACAAAAACTACTGTAAACTGTAGTACTGCAAAAAAAGTATCGCACATCCGCGTGCAGTAAATCGCACGCGAGTCGTGCGTGTGGCTTGGCGCGATCTCTGCCAGGGGTTCTACGGTATTCATACGGCCGAGACACTCACGCACGCGTGCGTGAAGCCGCCTCACACGGGGCGCTTTAGTTTACACGCTATTAAAACTATAGAACCGGAAAAAAGTCGCGGTCGGGTTTAACGACACCGGCACGTTTCACTGCCGCGTCGTGGCAGCCCGCGCACAGACGCCTTCGTGGTGAGTGCACACTGATGATAAAGTGACACTGGCGACAAGTGCATACGTATATCTATCTAGCAGCCGCTCATCGTTGTCGGTCTTTTGCCGAAGTCGGTATTCGTAGACAATCGGGAGGGGGGGGGGAGATGGGAGAATGGTTATTTTAGGGAATTGGATTAGACCAATTTAATTATCTGTGAACCGCGAAATACCAGATACATTTTTCATGATGCGGGAATTGTAATTGCGATTGCGATTTTATGAACTAGGAACTGGGAAATAGTTCCTAGAGTTAAACAGCGTTCACACGTAGTTTTGGAATGTGCGTACGTCGCTGTACACAAACAGTGTACTATAGTTTATGGCATTAAAAAATTGCATGTAGTCAACAACAACTGTGTGCTGTTGCTGGTACCAGTATACGGTAACCCATTTTCGAAAACAAATTACATGTTTGTGACAGTCATTACATACATGTCACAACCAATTATACCACATTTATAACTTTATGCATTAATTGGTTCAAGGATAGAGATGATGTCCAGGGGCCCGTTGTCAGAAACAAAATTAGTCTTAACATTAGTCTTAACACTAGCATTTTCTCGTAGACCGTCGACAGCGCTTTGTTTCCTATTGTTATACGCGTATAGCTATAGCCGGTCGTTCACACGTCTGCTATACGCGTACAGCTATACGAAGTACGTAGGAAACGCACTCATTTTGTCAGGATAGTGATACGCGTTTCGAACTGAGTATAGCTATACGTGGTCGTTCAGACGAGGGAAATTTATCGCGAGTACGTACGAAACTCTGTTTCGTACGCGTACGAACCGTGGATTTTGCTACGTGTGAACGCGCTAATACACACACTCGACATCCTGTTCACCAGTTGCACCCCCCCACACACATATATTCATTGGTGCTGTAGTTGTTGATAAAAACGTACATTCGTGTAATATTATATCAACCCGGATCTAGTTCATCATCAATACCCGCGATCAATCCTCAAACATTTCAAATCTGTGCTTAGTCGGGCCACAATCCTCTCAGGCATTCACTAGTAGATAGCAAATCGAATGTGGATTGGTAGACTAAAAATAAGAGTAGACACCCTACGTGTTCACCACTGTAGTGAATAACAGAATACAACATGAACTTTGCACCAAACACCGACGCTCTGCGAGGATGTGTATATAGGCATGTATATGTATATGTATGTATAGATATGTATGCAGCTACACGCACCTTCATTTCTAGTTCCGCGAGTCATCGTAAAATTAAACTGATAGTGCGCGTACGCAAGTGTCTGAATTTGTCAACCTACGGACTCCTGCTCGCCCGTTGACCGGACACTCCGTCATACCGTTACCACTTCCGTGAGTCCGTCATCACCCCGTCAGTCCGTCACCACTTCCGTCAGTCCGTCACCACTCCCGTCCGTCCGTCACCACTCCCGTCCATCCGTCATCACTCCGTCAATCCGTCATCGCTCCGTCAATCCGTCACCACTTAGCCTAACTGTCGCCTACCACTCCGACCGTCACTATACTAAGTCACCATCCTCACCTCCTACAGACCGCGACAAATCCGGTAAGACAGACAGCAGGGTGTGTGTGTGTGATACAGGGCTTCGTGTAGAAGGCACCGGTGCGTTCGCCGCAGCCCCGCCAGCAGCAGGCAGCGATGGGCAGCTCGGGCAGCGTGTTCAGCGAGGAAGAGCTGACTGCATACCAGGACGTCACCTACCTGACGTCGCAGCAGATCCTGCGCGTCTACGAGCGCTTCACGCAACTCGCCGACGACGTCGGCCGCGACACGCGCCTGCCGAAGCGACTGATCAGCGAGCTTCCAGAGCTGCGCGTCAACCCGTTCCGCGATCGCATTGCCGACATCTTCTCGCCAGACGGGGAGAGCATCGGCTTCGAGGATCTACTGGACATGATGTCAGTGTTCTGTGAACAAGCGCCGCCTTCCATCAAGGTCTCCGCTATACGGGCTCCGTTGTCAGAAACATCGCTCAGTGTCGGAAATAGCAGCCGGCCCGTCCAGTATAGGAATAGTGTCTTTCGAGCAGACTGGTAAAATTTGAGCGGGACTGGCTAATTTTTATGGATTTTACAACAGGTTCTATGGCAGTGTTGTAAATAACAGCATGTGCTAGTAGTCTGCCACTGGTAAATATTGCGGACCATATATCGGTAAATATACCAGGACTGGCTATTTATCATGTATTTTACCATATGTATATAGTATAAATCGAAATCAGGGTTCAGACTTATTTCCAAGACTGAAATAATTACGATATTTCGAGTCAAAAATCTCATAACAAATAATCTAAATCTAAATAATAAGTAAAGGTGTGGCGTTTGCGTAACTATCTGCGATGTTTCTGATAAGAGCCGCCCTGTTTACTGCTGCTGGTTAGTTTACTGCTGGTTAGTTTGCTGCTGAGTCCTGGAGCGGTAGTTAGTGGGGAGAGAGGCGGATGTTCACTGCCTTCAGTGTAAGGATTCACACCGGTGAGTCAAGAACTAGATGCTTGCCTAGCCGGCCATCTAATCTACCCTACGCGTCCATCTCTATCTATATCGTGTCCTATAGTGTAAAAATTAACCTCGTCACGACTGGCATCCGTATAATAACAATTACAAACGTTGCCTGCGTGAAGTCAGTATTGAACATATTCCTTTCACTAAACGAAATTGAATTTAGTTAAAAATATTCTATCCAATTAGCCAAAAAACTACAATATTAATCTACCCAGTTAGAACACTGCATAGTCATTGGCCCAGACAGAGGAATAATGTAATAAAAATGTCGTGGAGCTAGCTGCCTTCCATGCGTGCGTGTACGAGTACACGAAATTATCATTTACGTGTTCAAGCTAAAGCTACGGGATTGCTACAACAGAAAATTCACATTTCGACGACATCACATCATTCACGTAGTTTCAGCTGTGGTTTACAGGAAGGAAGAGCGCCTCTAGATCTACTGTAGAAACAGTTTTGCTATACTTTTTGCCTCTTGCCAATCCAACACTTGTGAATCGATGGCTTAGTGTTTTTCATCCTTGACATTTAAAGCCGCAATATGCTCATCCAAACGCTAATGTCTCCAGTACTAGACTAGCAAATACTTCGTGTCATGCATAATCATACTACCTTATGACAAAATTCCTCTAGTTCCTCCCATTTCACTGCGCGTTGTCTTATAAAAGGTATTTGAAAATACCTCCAATGTTGTTCAAATTCTCCATTAGGAGTACGCGTTCCCAACATTGATATCATTAATGATTAATGATTAATGATTAATGATTGATAATCCTAACCCTAACGCTAACCTAAATGACATTAAACCACAAACTAATATATGACCATGACCATATATATATATATATTATGTTATTATGACCATTAATGACATTAAAGTTGGGAACACTCCTAATGGAGGAGTATCACCCGATGTTGTTGACACGTTCGCGTTGCTCTGCCAAGAAACCGTACAGCGGGTGCAACCCGTAGCAACATGTGACGTCACGTAACCTATTCGGGGCTAAATCATTTGGCAAACAATTCGGCGTTGGCGCCAGATTGCCAGATTTAGCACCTCTTTCTTGTGGGGTTTAAGCAAACGCGCAGTGAAATGGGAGGAACTAGAGTTTATTTTGTCATAAGGTAGTGTGATTATGCATGGCACGAAGTATTTGCTAGTCTAGTACTGGAAAAATTAGCGTTTGGATGCGCATATTGCGACTTTAAATGTAAAATATTTCGCCGTTTTCATTTTTGTAAATACAGCTTTCCTGGAGAAACGCTACAAGTACTTAAGTATCAGGGCTGGATGTCGATTTCAAAATGTTAAGGCAATATTTAGTCATAGCGATAATAAATCACAACTAAAATTGTAAGTTATGGAAACTTGTCAATTTAAATAGCCATTTCACTCCTGCCATTATCTACTAAAACTCAGTAGCAAAATCCATATTCTTGATAATTTCAATCGTAGCTTTTTTCACAACTTTTCTTCACACCGGAGGAAATTTTTCACTGTAATTCTGGCAATATAATAGCCTAATGGTTTACTGATTTTCGCTATCCAAAACCAGAAAAAACTGTTGAACGTTACATCCTAGAAGGCAATTGCATCTGCCAGACATTCGTCGCTATAGTATCTTGCGTTGCTAGGAACGCTATACAGATGTATAGTCAGCAAAATGAGGGAGAGCATATAATGATATTTTGTAATCTGTACTTAAACCCCAAAATGTTGCATAGACCTAAGTTTTTGAAGAAAGTATACGGCTAATGATGTCTGGAGCTTATTAAATTGGCTAATTAACAGGATAAGGGAGTTTCTTATTTTCAATAATATATTTTTGACAACGGCACATTAAAAGCGAGCCAACCAACGTTCAACACTGATAGCTTTACAATTACACACGCCCCGTCCCACATCACACGTCCTTCAATCGCCATACTTCTTTGACAGGAAAAAAGGCGATCGAGAACAACAAACCAGCCAAAGGATGGACTACAAGATCCTTCACTGGATCACGATTCACATAAGGGCATCACGTGTCTCCATGCAGCAGAGGTTAAACAACGTCTCCTTTCATTTTTTTGCAGCTAGAGTATGCCTTCAGGATCTACGACTTTGACGAGGACGACATGCTGTCCGAGGGTGACATCGCCACAGTGGTCAGACGGCTGACCAGAGAGAGCCCGCTGGACGACAGGGACATGAAGCAGCTGGTGGGCAACATTATGAAACAGGCCGATCTAGATGACGACGGACTGCTGAGCTATGCAGAGTTCGAGCACGCAGTCTACAAGGCACCTGATCTCATACACCTGTTCAAGATCAGGATGTAGACACGTGACTTTCACACACCTGCTCAAGATCAGGATGTAGACACGTGACCTTCACACACCTGTTGAAGATCAGGATGTAGACACGTGACCTTCACACACCTGTTCAAGATCAGGATGTAGACACGTGACCTTCACACACCTGTTCAAGATCAGGATGTAGACACGGCCAGGGGGGTCTAATCGCCGGCCACAATGTGAGCAACCGCGACAGTGGGGGTCCGGGGTGAACACATTTTAACCCCATAGACCCCGCTTACAGATGCGTTTCTGCGCGAGCAGGGGGGGCCGGACTCCCTGGAACCCCCCCCCTGTACACGCCCCTGATAGCGATAGCCGATCGAAGTGTTTCTTTCCCTGTTCTCCTGCTACTGAGATTCTGTGCCGTATCTAGGGGAAAAAAACCAGTTTGGTTGGCTTTCATTTGCAAATCTTTTGATGTTTTCCAAGAAGTAGCAAATGTCTATGAAATCCCTGAAAATCCCCAAACTACTGAATATGTGAATATAATATCATATAATATCATTTGTCTTTATTAACTCCTGGTAA